ATTTCATCGATAATAGACTCTATTGTTCAATTTTCTGGTCGAAATAAAAAAAGAAACTTGTTTACAAATCAATCTAAACAATCCATTAATAACAATGAAGATAAGAATATGTTATTATTAATGTGTAAAAATCAAATTAATAATAGTTCCCGTCAACGAAAATCACGCATAACAGCAAAACAAAAAAAGACAACATACAGAAAAACCTCTAGAAAACCTCTTACTAAAAAAAGCAAGAAACAAACATTAAAAATAAAAGTAAGACAACAGAAAATAAAGAATATAAAACATTTCAGTCGATCAAACAAAAGTAAACAACAATATAATCAACAAAAACAAAGAAAACCATTTAATATTAAAAAAAAGTCACATAATTCAATAATGAAACAGAAACGAAACAATATTCCCAATCATTCTTCTCGGCAACAACAACATAAATTAACGCCTAGCCGAAAGAAAAGTATGATGGCAACATATCAAAAATCTAATAAAATTCAAAAATGTAAGAAAACCTTGCCAGTCAAAAACCTGATCTTGCTGATCACAGGACGATTGTTTTATTCTATCTATTTTGGGAAACATTTCTTCATTATCCTTTTACTTAATTGTGTAAAAATGCAATAAGAACGTAGTATTGATATAGGATCTATTGGAAAAGGTCCACATCTTTACCTTTTTACTGTAACAACCATTTAAAATTGTGTTTTACGAAACCAAACTTATCAGTAATCACTTTTCTTGTTTGATATTTATATTAAACTCATGAATGTAGAAACGCTAAGATTTCTTTTCCTTTTTTTAATTTCTCAACTATTATAGTGAAAGAATATTATGTATTACTTGAATTCTTTAATTATCTTTCATTTATCTTTCGAATGAGTATCAATCAAATAAAAAAAATCTTAATATTTAAGAAAATGAGCGTATTTAGTATCTTATGTTAATAAATATAAATGAAAAATATTGAAATTTTAATGGCCACTGCTTTATGTATACACGTTCCCTTAGTGAATGTACTAAATTCAAGACATTCATATTCAGTCAGTTATCAGCAAGATACTTTTTCGAGTACACTATATCTAACATCTCATAGGATCTTTATTGGACACTCTACTGAGAATTGTCTCAGTTCAGGTATCTGCCGAGTTTCTATAACATTTGATGACAGACTTTTTCAACAAATCAGCAGATTGAATATTTAGAAATATTTTGTAGTCGAGTGTTAAGATACTCATAAACTAACGAAATGTTCCTGTATCATACTCGTGGCAGAATACCTTGAACTTAATTCATTCACTAGTATACATACTCTAAGATGTAATTCAGCTAGAGCTAACTCAACAAAGCAAACCATTAAACAACAGCGTTCAACTTCACCGTCACAACAATCAAAACAAGAACCAAAAGAAAAACAACACATTTTTGAAAAACGAGATCGAACAACATCATTAATGGCATTACAAACGCTAGCTAAGAAAATAGCTATCTGTATGTAAATATTTTCAAAATTCATCTATTATTAAAAATCAAAATGAAGACCTATAAAAGAAATAAGAATTTCATAAAAAATACATTTTATTTAAATTTTAATAAATTGCATTATTTTAAAATTTAAAGTAATATTTTTCGAAACCACAAAACTTTCACACTGAGTTGTATTTATAAGTTTGAGAAATATATCTGTTACACAATACAAATATGATATGCAAGGTTAAAATGTTAATAATTTATTTATTTTTTAGATAAAAAAAGATATGGTGATATCGAAACTCGACATTCATCAATACTAACACCTATCAACTCACATAAAGCATAAATAGAATATAAAAAATAAATTCTAATGAATAAATGAAACTATGAAAATAAATATAGTATACATAATATGTATTTTATTCTAATCATTATATTACATGATTGTGGGCGTAATAGTGTCAATAGTAAATGATATCATTATTTGAAATTGGAATAAAATAAGATTTAGAAAAAAGTAGATATTTATTTTAAACAAATAAAATGTATGGCAAACACACTAATTCAATGATGAATAGTGAAAATAATGTTTTTCTTCGCTTATAGACAAAACAATAAGCGTTTATTCATTAATAAAAATCATCTATTATTTGATAAAATTAAATTATAAAAAGAATAAAACTTGTGTTCATAAAAAAATTGTTTTTCTTTTAAATAAATGAGAATAATTTAATTGTTTTCTGTGCAAATAAGAAAAATACAACTACAAAAAAATATATATATTTAAAATATCATTTTGTGACGAATGTTATCTTTCTTTTTTTATCTAAACAAGTGGAGTTTTGCCTCGTAATGTTGCTGATGTTGGATTCGTATTATTATCTGTACAAATACTTATACTTGTCGCTACACGATGACCACGACGAGATGGACGATCATTTCCATTTGCTGTTGCAGGTGTTGGATTTCTTGAAAATGGACGATCATTTCCATTTGCTGTTGCAGGTGTTGGATTTCTTACAAATGGACGTATATTTCCCGTAGTTGATCGATCTTTATAAAAAGAAAAATAATTTATTAAAACAATAGAAAAAAATCTATATGAAATATTTTTCTTCAATAAACCTGTCATTTGACTTTGATTTTCTCGAACAGATATTGCTGTTGTTACTCGTTCATTGATATTTCGTGTTGGTGATCGTTCAATAATCATCGTTTCAACAGGAGTACAATTATTATTATTTGTTGCTACTGTTGTTGTTGTTGATGATAAACGTTTAGCTGGTGTAAGTATTTTAAGTGGTGATGTAGCTCGTTCACATGTTTCATTATTATCAATAGTTAATGATGGCAATGATGTACATGAACTTAACTTAGATTGTTTTAAAAATTGTTGGACCTGTTGTTGTTGACGATCTTTTTCTTGTCGTTGCCAAACTTTATACGGCCAATAAACACTAAATGAAAAGAAAACGAATTATTGACTGTAATATAAAAGTTTTAAAAAAAAATTAAATACTTATTAAAATTTGTTGATGGTGAAGATTGATCAGGAGTTGAAAGATCTGATATAGTATCCATATCCTGATTTTGCATATCTTGCATTGTTCGACTGATTAATTCTCTAGCTAAACGTTTTTCTATAGAAATAAAAAGACAATACATTTGTATATTTTTCAATAATTAAAACAAACCAGTTGGATTTGCATTAATAAGCCATTCTTGTGCTTCAGCTACATTATCAATTTGTAAAATATAACAAAGAATGGGAATTAACTTTAAAAGAAAAATTTTTTAAAAATAGTTTTGTTTTTGGAAAAATGAATTACCCAAATTCCAGAATCTTGATTTTCATCATTAGTTGATTGTTCTTGCTCAGATTTTTCATTAGGTTTAGATTTTGTTAATCTTGGAGATTGATAACGTGGACTTGCATGTCGATTTAATAATTTTTTCGAAATATTTTGTTCATCATTTTCTTCAACATTACAGTTTGATACTGCAGTACGACTTCGTTTATAACGATGTTTACTTAAACGCGCTGATCGAGATGAACGCATATATTGTTCTTGTTCATCAGCTGATGTAAGAGAAGTTTTTACTTGTTGTGCTAATTCCATTAATTGTTGACGCCATGCATCACTTACATTGTCTATAAAAATAGAAACCTCATTTTTCTCGATAAAATTGACTTTTTTTTCTCAAAACTTAAACTAGTATGATATTGAAATATAGATTCCTAATGATACTTTAACAACACATTCACATATCAATCGAAAACAAACTATCAAAAAAAAACCTTTTTTGTAATACTAATATTGTCATTGTACTGTAAGAGAAATCGTATTTTCAAAATGTTATGCTTTATTATTCAAAAATAGATCTTAATTTAATCTTACACATTTTATTAGCGGCTACGAAAATATATCTTTACGTAACATCAAAATGTTTTTCTTACATCCTAAAATAACATTGAAAAACTTACAAAAGCCTAAACCATTCATGTTATTCATATCATTATTATTTCTTTGCTGTAATGCATATCTATATGATGGTTGATTAATATAATTAGAATCTTCAACATATGAAATATATCCAGTTGAAATATCTATGATAATTCAAAATAGAACAAGTAAATAAGACAATGTTGATTATACCATGCATATATTTTAAACGTCTTGGACAAGCTACATGACGAGCAGGACGTACAAAAAACATATTAGGACTTAGATTACCAAATCGTTGGCGTGCACTTAATAATGTTTCATAATGTGTCTGATTGGGAAATGTAGGACCATAAACTATTTGAATTTATTAAGAACAATATTTCTTTTGTTTTTCATTCTACTTACAAGCCATTTCCTAACTATATATATTTTTGTGTGTGTGTATATATATAAGAAATGAATGCAACGCTTGGTATGTTACTTTGTTTAAAAACAAGAAAAAAAAAGAATCGATGGAGACACAGCAGCAACTCAAATATTATAATAATGCATAAATCTGTTCACATACTTTTTTGTTCGACGGAATTTCTTTTCTTTTGTATAATAAAAAGAAAATAATTGATTTCTTCTTTGCTTGCCAACCAATCACGAATAACAATAACAATAACAATAACAATCACCACCATCACCACCACAAGCAATAGTAAGAGAAATAAAGGCATTCAATTGAAGAATTGACGGTAAATACAATATTGTTTTTGATTTTTACCTAGTAAACAATCATATTTTTCTCTTGACACTTTCAAATTTTATTTTTCATTTTGACTGTCAATTTTCTACGTGTTTTTTTCTTTCTACTTCAATACTTCTCGAGTCTTTTTTTTAAAATAATAACGAATGTCGATCAGAAACCAATATAAGTATTTATTCAATATTATAATGAAAAATAATGAACAAAAAAAAACATAAGGCTGGTACTTTTCTTTTAACTAAAAAAATAAAGCTTATTATTATGTTAGGCACTTGTCTTTCGAGTCATATTCGTTAGAGAAGAAAAAAAAACGTCAAGGCGCTAATAGAATTTTAATGGCTTGTAACAGGATCAGGACGAGTTGATGAATAATTATTCGGATAACTCATATAGGAATGTGTTTGTTGACGTAATTGAGGTGTAACATCACATGCATTTGGAGCTGTACTTGATTGTAAATTTGCATAGCCTACTGGACCTGGATCAGTTGCATGATAAATATGTGTTGGTGCTGCATTAGTGTCTGTATATTGACGATTAATATTATCGGTTGTATTAGATGTGTAATGAGCATTTATATCCGTTGGTCGAGTTGGTGGAAGATATGATTCACCAAATGAATAAATTGATGGAGCTTTTGGAGGAAATATATTACGTGCAGTTGTTATTTCTTGACTATGATTCTATTTAGAAGAAAATAATAGAGGATGGCAATGGAAGTTGTTGAGCAATGAAAGTGGGTCACTTTTAAAATTGAATTTATTATTTCCTCAAAAATCAATTTGGATATGTGAAGCATATCGTCCTTCGAAGTCGACCAATTAGAGTTCACTATTGTTTCGTGCAGTTCACTCAAAACTCGATATTATCTAGCCTTTATAGGTTCATCGTTTACAATGATCCTATTTCGTCTAACATTGTTTGCTCATACGTACAATATGAGAATAGCTATGACAAAAATTTCCTTACTAATACGCTTTTAAAGTAGTAATCTATTTTAAATGATATATCATTCGATAGACTTTTTAAATCTCTATAAAAAATGATACTATTGCGTTAAGCTTGATTTATGAGCACACACTCGAGTCAAACATACACACACTATTCATGAAAACTGCGTCGATCTATATATGTTACAAAATTTCCGACAATTTTCAAGTTTGTCCAAATATGTAGCCGTAGTTCCTCTTACGTTAGAGTTACACCAAAAAATAAAGTCAGTCAAAGCCCTATTTGGCTGTGAAAAGCGACTTCTAAATTTTTATAAGTCTAGGAAAATCCAAAATGACAGATGAATGAATAATAAAAATTATGTTTTCAATGACTTTAAATTTCGACGTAACCTTGACGGCAATATGGGCTGAATATTTGGACAAAAACAAAAACTATCAGAGGATTTTTTTTTAATATACATAGATCGACTCGGCTCTCATCCTAACTTCGAATATGGCATTTATTTTGACAGAAAGTCTGATTTACTCTGACGCAAAGCAGTCAAATATCAGTTAAAAATATGCAACTATTGGCAGTCATGAGAAATGTGCGCTTGACTAAAGTGTTTTGTTCGCAAAGTAAACTCAATGCAGTAGTATCAGTCTTTGTTCTAATTTATAAAGTCGATCAAATGATAAATAATCCAAAGAAGATTATTGCTTTAAAAGAGTAATGGTAAGTAAATTTTGTCATGATTACTCTCATATGGCACATATGAGCGAACAATGTCACGCAAAACAACAAGGAAAAGAAAAACATTTAGTCATACCTCCTCGATTCAATTCAATAGAACAAACAATGAGCTCTGATTTGCAAAGGATGGGTAATATCTGACTTTGGTTGACTAGAACGCAGCTAGAATGAAGTCTAAGGGTTTAATTCGCATGGTAATCTACTTCTCACATTCGAATTGACAATTGTGAAAATAATAAACTCAATTTTGGGCAGCTATCGATTTTATCGTTTAGTAGCACCCCTCTTTCTCCCAGTCTAGCTAAACAGGAAAATATGTTTCCGCTTTGTTTTTTTACTTACAGGTAAATGAGCTACTTGAGCAGCTACAGGTCCATAAAAATGTGGATTTAATGGTGCAGCACGAACAACAGATGAACCAAGTGCACCATAACCTATATGTCCACCTGCAGCTACTCGGATTCCTTCTCGTGCAATTATCTAATTTAAACAGAAAAGAAAAAACAACATAAAATATTGCTTTGATTCTATTCCTATTTACCGTTTCCAAAATAGCACCTGAAAAATAAAATGAAAGACAAATAAATTTTTTTTCTCTTTTGAAAGAAAAAAAAAATGTAAACGCACCTGCTTTTAATTTATCTTCATAAAATGGAAACACACTTAAAATGTAGTCAGTTCCTTCTTGTGTATAGGCATCATTAAGAGCCCTTTTAACATAAATAAATAATAGTACTATTTGAAAAGAAACCTAAGATTATTCAAACCTTTTTACATATTGAAGTGCTTCAAGACGATCATTATGTACGGTTATAGAAGCAAGAATATTCCGTGCTTGTTGACATGTCATTGGAATTAAACGCTAGATTCATTTAATAGATAGAAAACTTATTTTTATTTTGTTGGTATCAAATTTTATACCGGTTCTAATATCAAAATGGCCTTCATTCGATCTTTTGGTCGTGTTATTGATGATACAATATGACCAGCTTGTTCACCACTGAAAAATCCTCGTGAATGATAGAGAATTTCAAGTTTTTTTTCAGGATCATTTGTTTCCTAAATAAGAAATTTCTTTTTCATTTGCATATATTTATTGTATGATAAGCGTTACTGATGGTCAGCAATAAAAAAAAAAAGAAAACAAATTTAAATAACACTGAGATTTTAATTTAGATTATACAAATAAGGTTCATTTTGTACATGAAAGATTTCATTCAGTAAGTATTCTACTTTTTAACAAACAAATGCAAAATCAGACCTATTGTTTGATATTATTCAGGAGAGTGAAGGAAGTCAGGAAGTTTTCTCTTTGATATAAAATAACTAGTTCTCTTTGAAAAACAATGGAGAAAGCTGTCTGTTTTGCATATTTTTCGTACATTTACGCTATGAAAAGTTAAGAAATTTGCTAAAGGTCAGTTGATAAGAATTTTCTACGAAAAATGTTAAGCCCAAGTGAAAATTAAAAAGGGGAAAATACCACTCTTCTGATTGTATGTCGGGGCAAAAACCATTATTATAGCTTGCTTCTTGTTGATTAGTAATACAATCAATTATTCTCATACTAATGTTTTAGGGTTTATTTTTTATTTGTCTTGACAAATGTGCTTTTTTGGTTTTTATTCCCTGAACACATTCAGAACCAATAAAATTTCATATAATCTTGTTTCCTATTAATGTCACCATTACTATAGAAATGACAAATAATTCGATTTCTGATATAATGAATATTGACTTTAAATGTTCAGTATCAAGGTTTTTTAATCCTAAGAGAAAGCCATAATTAGTCACATTTTCGACAGAAGCTTAGTTGTTTTTTACTTCCCATAAATCTTAATTTATACATAAGTGATTCAATCATCGACAACACGGTATGACGATGAGAGCAGGCAAGAAAAAATGAAGATGCATTCTATGGAATGAATAAGTAGATGATCTTGTCAGTATAAAGTACCTAAAAGTCGACATTTACTTTTTGAACCCATCGAAATGTTACAAGACGATAAAAACAAAATTCATCGTAGAATAAAGCGTAGCATGTAGAAATTAAAAATTATAGAGAGCATGAGAATTTTTCAAAGCAACTATTAATTACTCTTGTATCATGCTACATATAGAACTAGACAAGTTCACCAAAGATTCATATTTATATTCATATCTAATGTTTCTTGTCTTCGAATAAATTGTTATCTATTCTTTGAATATTTCTGAGTTACTTCTCTATAATTCTTATAAAACTCGTTGGGCGATTTTATTTTTCAGTGTTATGACGAATTGAAGTCGCTCAATTAGGGTAGACAATAGTCCTAGTCTTAGTGTCGATTTTAAGCGAATAATGTCAACGCTCATATGCTTCCGTAGATATGAGGGATAGAATAATTAGCTTTAAACAACAGAAAAATTGAACTGTAATCTTTAGTTATGCACATCTATGGTGTCTTTCACATATTCTAACGAATACTTCCATCTGTCCCTTGTTTCAAATTGCTCTTTGATAGAAATTTTGTCATTAAATTATTCTCTCGATAAATACAAAATACTTGTACCAACAATTATATCCATATCCCATTAGTACATAAGTTCTGCACGTTTTCTTTTTGTTTTATAGACAGATTTGAGGCTTTATATCTCGAGGTCTTACCAGTCACGAGATATAAAGCCTCAAATTTGCCTACAAAACAAAAAAAAACATGCAGAACTTATGTACTAACGGGATACATTTTTAATTGTCACATATCGAATAGTAAATTCTTTGAAGAAATAGAAAATTCAATTAATATAATAATGAAAGGAAGATTCGTGTCAAGGTTATTTTGTTGAAAACATGGAACTTACATGAACAATTTTTCGAAGTAAAATTTCAAATTCTTGATCACTCATAGGTGTTTGATAACTTCGATTTTGCGATGGAAAAGGATTTTTCGCAATTGGATCAAGAAAATTCATGATTGTTTGAAGTATGAAGTAATTGATTACTAAAATAAAAAACTTTCTGTTTTTTTTAGTTTTCCACAAACATCAGTCATTTCGTATGTTGTTACTAAAACATCAACCTCTATTCAATTGAAGCCATTTGAAATTTTAATTTATATTCTTTTAATTAAATTTATTTGTTTTATTTTAATAAATTTCTTTCAAAAAAAAAATTCTTTATAAAGTTTTAAAAAGTGACATCTATCATCATTCACTCTGATTGGATTGTAGATCTGGAACCATTGATCAAAATACGCAACATATAATAAATAAATACAAATAAGCAACGAAAAGGAAAAAAGTCAACAAAGTTCTTATGTAGACAATATTAAGCAGTCTTTGTCAATATTTAATACAAAAGGATGATTATTATATTTTAATTATTTGTTTTCATTATACCGGAAGAACAACCTATCATTAAGCAAACAAAAACAATATCGTTTCTTTATGATAAAATGATAAACCTACCAAAAATAACAGCAATTATTAGTTATAATATTGGTACAAGTGATATACAAAATTGACTTTTTAATTTTATGAAATTTGAATGGTCAAGAAAAATTGTAATCATGAGATAGTAAAATAGTACATTGAATTTCATGAAATTATTCAAGTTATTTATTGTCAATACTGATAAGAATTATGTTTAATATTTGTTAAAAATGATTCAATCAAAATTATTATTTCATATACAATTATTATCATTATTATTATGTAATAGACAAGATCTTGACCGGTGTATGACATAATCAAAAATCAAACATATATATTTATAGAATTGTTCAAAATAAAAAATTGGTGTAAGAAAATGTATGGTTTTAACTTCTACAGCTTTGTCTGGTGATGGTACTCGTAAATCTATTAGTTGGATAAAAAAAATATCGTATGCTAAGAATTTTTAAAATACAATTATTTAAACATCAAGATATTGGAGAAGAAAAAAAAACATATGTGATTTATACTTAATTTAAATCTTTCATTTAGTTACACATGAAAGTCTTATGATTATCTAGAAGAATGTTTTCATATGGAAATGAATCTTTTTTTCAATTTCTAGCGAAAAAAAACCAAAGACATTTATAAATAGATTGATTTCATTTGTTATAGTGCTTTTTTTCTACTTTCTTTCGTTTGCTCAAGTAATACACTCTAAGAGATTATTTTTTATTTTGATTATTTGTTAGTCAAATCTCTAAGGATGTATAAACTATTCATTTGGGTGTTAAGAAAAAAAAAAAGAAAAGAAACGAGAAGACAATGAGAGTGTTTAAAAATTGATCATTAGAATACACAGTAAGAGATTAACCTGATTTGTATCTATTGAGAAGCACGAAAGGGCAAATGCATGACCGTCTCTTTTTCTTATGCTTGTTCTTATCTACTCCTTCAATCGATTAGCTGTGAGAAACAGAACGGAAGAGAACATATCATGTTTGTTGTATATCCATGTGAACACATTGAAAAAAAAATGAAAAGAATAAGTAAAGAAATTTGAGAACAATATTGACAGCTGTACCATTCTGATTCAGTATTCGTGATATATAATGCATATTTTATTCGTTAGAAAAAGCACATTCTGTTTCATTTGTGTTTTTCTTTTGCGTTCGAGTAAACGTGGCATCAGCCTGTTAGTAAGTCGTTAAAATGTTTTTTTTTCTCTTTCAATATAGAATAACAATGTATTATTAAAGAAGAGTACTTATTGTATTTCTAATCTTTATATATATTAGAGAATATCAAAGTTATGAGAAATCGATTGCATTTTTTTTTGTTTTTTTATTTTTCAGAATTTAATCTTATGTTAAATGTCTAAAATAACAACCATATTAGGTAATGCCGAAAAATAGTACCAGTGAATATTCTAAACATGAGTATCCATATTCGTCGTTATTTATTTCGTTTTATTCTTTTTATACCCGTTGTTTGGCTTCTAATTATTCTTATAATTTTACAATCAAATGAAATATCAACAAATACATCCAATAATATTAAATCGAAAGACCATAATATAAATCATCGTGTAGGACGTGATGCTGATGAAATCGATGCATTTGGTGGTGATGCATTAATCCGTTTACGTAATCATTTAGTCCCACTTAATAATAAATCTCAACATGTTGAAACATCAAGTGAAGCCGTTCGTGTTATACATGAAAAACCAGAACAAGTTGCACCACCACAATTAGATAATGCTAAACAAGACTTAAATGCACCAGGTGAAATGGGTAAAGCATTTGACGTTGATAAAGAAAAATTAACACCAGATGAGCGTCGAAAATATGATGAAGGCTTTCAAAAAAATGCATTTAACGCTTATGTTAGTGATTTAATATCAATACATCGTAGCTTACCTGATGTACGTGATCCTGGTTGTAGGAAAATTCAGTATAAAGCACCCCCAGCAACAGCAAGTGTTGTTATGTGTTTTCATAATGAAGCATGGTCAGTATTATTACGTTCAATTCATTCAATTATTGATCGTACTCCTCCAAATTTATTAAAAGAAATTATTCTTGTTGATGATTTTTCTGATATGGGTAAAATATAGTTTTGTTTTTGTTTTCTTCATGTGTTTTACAAAAAACAAAAGAATTTGTTTTTGTTAATAGAACATTTAAAACAACCTCTTGATGATTATGCAAAAGCTCTTGGCAAAGTAATAATTATCCGACAAAGCAAACGTGAAGGTCTTATTCGATCACGTCTAGCTGGTGCTGCTGCTGTTAAAGGTGATGTTATAGTTTTTCTTGATTCACATATTGAAGCAACTGAAGGTTGGCTTGAACCATTATTGGATCCTATATCACAAAATCGTACAACCGTTGTAACACCTGTGATTGATGTTATTGATGATACAACATTTAAATATAACTATGGTGCTGTCACGTCATTAAGTGTTGGTGGTTTTGATTGGAATTTACAATTTAATTGGCATGGTGTACCAGAACATGAACGAAAACGACGAAAACATGAATTAGAACCTGTTCGAACACCAACTATGGCTGGTGGACTTTTTGCAATTAGTAAACTTTATTTTGAAGAATTGGGAACATGTATGTTCAAGATTAGATATGAAATAAAATATATATACATACATATATATTATGATTAAAATTCTATTTTTAGATGATGCTGGCATGGATATTTGGGGTGGTGAAAATCTTGAAATGTCTTTTCGTATTTGGATGTGTGGAGGTAAGATTATTCAAATGATATTTTGGTTGTCTTGATATTGTACGTTTGTGTTTTTTTTTATAAAATAGGTATTCTAGTAACAGCACCTTGTTCACATGTTGGTCATATATTTCGAAAACGATCTCCTTATAAATGGTTACCTGGAGTTAATGTTGTCAAGAAGAATGCTGTTCGTGTAGCTGAAGTTTGGCTTGATGAATATAAAGTATAGAAAAGAAATAATTTATTCTTTACATTATAATAATATATGTATATATATAATTCTATTTAGAAATACTATTATGAAAGATTTAATTATGATTTAGTAAGACTTCTGTTCTTTGCTTTTGTTATTAATAATAATAATTTTGTTATAATAGGGTGATTATGGTGATGTTTCTTCTCGTAAATTACTTCGAGAAAAATTAAAATGTAAATCTTTTAAATGGTTTTTAACTGAAATTTATCCAGAACAATTTATTCCTGGTGATGCAGTAGCTTCGGGAGAGGTTTGTAAATAAAATGAGCAATCAAAAAATGAAATTATAAAATATATTTTTAGGTTCGAAATTTAGCAGCACCTTTCTGTGTTGATGGAAGTACTGATCATAAGAATTATCATAAACCAGTTATTGGATATCCATGTCATTCTCAAGGTGGTAATCAGGTTTGTAGAGAATAAACAATATGATCTTTCTTTTGTCTTCTATATTATTTTTCTTTCGTCTAGTTTTTTATGTTAAGTAAATTGGGAGAAATTCGTCGAGATGATGGCTGTTTAGATTTTTCAGGTGGTATTAATGATGCTAATAAAGATGATAAAGTTATTGTCTATCCATGTCATGGTATGAGAGGAAATCAACAATGGCTTTATAAAGAGGTTTGTTTTTAATATGCAAATTATTATTTGAATAATAGAATGTAGAAAGTTTTCTTAACATAATCGAAAAATAACAAAATGTAACATGTGTTATTAATGTGTATTAATGGTTTTAAGAGAATACATAAATATGATATTATGTTCGAAGATTAGACTTGTTATTTTACAATTATTATGTCAAGTCATTCGGCAGCGAATATTTTGAGAGTTAAATAGTTGAAAAAAAAGAACTATATATCAGATTGACTAATTATACTAGATTACAATTTATGGATTATTAATATGAGAAGCGTATGTTTGCGTCGTTAGCCAGTTGAAGCCATTCAGACTGAGAGATGTATATAAACGTTTCTCGTGCTGGAACAATTTAGATCTATTGATGTATACCATTTATGATTGATCTAGCTGGTATTGCTCTGTGATATGGTACGAGTGATATGCATATGCATTGTACCAGTCTTTTGAAAGATCAATAGTGTTAATATAGAAATGAGAATTAATTCACTTAAACTAATTTCGTGTTTCATTATTTTGCTGAATAAAAAAAAATGTCGTACTGAAAGGGTACAATAAATCTTAGGTAAATATCTGTAGAATATTTCTCGCGATTAGCACTTTTGTATTATCAAAATATTGTTCAAATATTGTAAGATGTTGCATATTGAATAATTCTATCAAAACAAAATTTTTTTCTTTGATCTGTCTAAGCTCTTTGAACGACATTATAGTTATAATATCATATATATCAAGTAAACCGAAAGGCTACGAATGATTATTTTTTGAGAGAGGAGAAAGAATTTATTTAAGGTGTCTCCCTCGGAAAAAAAGTCAATTTCCGCTAAAAAAGATGAAAATCAAGATCAATATATGGAAAGATAGATCGAGGCATGATTTTTTATTTGGCATCTCGTTTTTTTCT